TGCAGAATCCCCTCACTGATTACACTGTAAATGATAATCTACCTTAACCAAAATCAAAGTAGACTATCACTCACCCACACCAGATGGAAAACTCTACAGACTGTCGGTTCACATATATATATATATATATATTTTTGGCTGCAAATGACATCCACCAGTAGTAAGTCGCGACCGTGCATGCGCCGCGATCCGCTGGGATCAATGGGCCTCCCGCGCTGGGATAATTCGTTCTCCTTAAAAAAAAAAAAAAACTTAACTTCATTCGAGTAGAAACAAATTGTGGCACTCTATAGCAATGGCTGGCGCGTTAACAACCGACCTTCTTGGAAGTGCTGGAGGTTCAAAGGAGAATGCTTCAGTGTTGCAAATAGATTGCTTTGATAAGTACACATACATCTGGTCGGAAAAGTGGGCAAGGTTCATGCTAACTTACCATAAACATAGCAATGGTAGGGCCTTGACTAAGGGGTGGGTGGGTTCCAACTGCCACCTCATTGGAGTTTAGGTCTGTGCAGGTTTGTGCTGTGTTTAATTGACAGATAACAAAGATGATGAATAATGCACCCAAAAAAAAAAAAAAAAAAAAACTATTAGAAAAAGAATAAAGTGCCAATCAGACCTGTATTAGCGGCGACCTTTGTCGCTTTTCGGCCTCCGAAAAGGGGCCCGCGGCCAATGTATGGCGTGTTGTACTGGTGGTTTAAACCACCAGTACATCCCAGCCATCGACCGGGGCCCCCTTTTGGAGGCCGCTGGCCGTCGATGTATTTTTTCGACGGGGCACAAGCCTCCAAAATTTTAGGAGAGGCTCAATTGGACTCTCAACTTGGCTGGGGCCATGTACTTGTGCTTTAAGGTTACCTTTGACAAGGATTGAGTTTCTTCTCATTCAAGCTGCAAAGTATACTAAGACAAGGGCTGGAGAGAAGGGGAGGGGGGAGGGGGGAGAGGGGGAGGCGAGGGGGGAGGGCTGGGGAAAGGTGGGTATTCTCAAATATCCAACTGGACCTTTGTAAGGGCCTAAGAGGAGGACTTAATTACTCGCGCCCTCTCTCTTGCCTCTTGTTCATGTCACACTCTCATGTTATGACACCCTTCCTGTTCCCCCCAACTGTTGTCATCATGTGTTTGCTATACCCTCCTCCCTCCTTGCAAACACCCATAAACAGCTTGGCTGTGCTGTGTGCTGTGTGCTGTGTGCTGCGTGCTGCGTGCTGTGCGCACCCTTCTACTGCCTCACTCGACCTCTCAGTGCCACCACTTTCACTAGCATGATTTCTCACACCCAAAGTTTGGTACTTCTTCACTGGTACGCAGCATGGATTTGACACTGCCAGGCAGTTCTTCGGGGCATCCATTAAAATTGGAATGATACAGAGAAGGGTAACTTCGCAAATGACCCTGTGCAAGGATGACACACATAGATCAAGAAATGGTCCAAACAAAGAAAGAAGAAGAAGAAGAAGAAGAAGAAGACACTGACCGGCAGTTTGCCAGTTCTGGAGGTTAGAGATTCAGAACAGGCAGCAGACCTGCAGGTCAGAAATTCAGAATAGGCAGCAGGCCTGCAGGTCAGAAATTCAGAATAGGCTGCAAGCCTGCACATTAGAAATTTCAAATTTGCAATAGGCTGCACGCCTGCAGGTCAGAATTCCAGAATCCGCTGTGGATTCCTCAGATATGACATCAAAAAAAAAATTGCTCGAGTGCCCTCCCCTTCCCCCCTCGCCCTCCCCTTCCGATCGAGCTCAGCACCACAGATGTAGAGGATTGCTGCAGTCAGAAAGTTCATCAGAAAACAAGGAAGAGAGTATATGTTACTCTTCGTGAAAAGACGATTAGTAGATTACATAGAAACTCATAAAGATTCGTTCCGCTTCTAGCCGCAAGGCATGGGATTACACGGTGTCCGGCAGCAGCACATCGCACTGCATCCCATAGCGCATTATGTAGCAGGCATGGCACAGTACAGAGACCAGGACATAGCATGATATAGCATGATATAGCACGACATAGCACGACATAGCACGATATAGCACGGCATAGCACAATGGAACTACAGAGCATGACATAGCATGACATAGCACGGTATAGCACGGCATAGCACAATGGCGCTACAGAGCACAGCATAGCACAATATAGCATAGCATCAGCATTGCACAGTACTGCATGGTTTAGCATTTCACAGTACTGCATGGTTTAGCATTTCACAGTACTGCATAGACTGCACTGCCTAGATCGCTCTGAAGAGTCAAAGACATGACTATACCCCATCTTCCCCTAGTTGCATGGACTCGGGTAAATCGGATATCCCAATTATACAGGAATTAGCATTTGATTGTGCATCCTTCCATCACGTCGTTTATTGTTGGTTTCACTTGCTTCAAGTTGTTGGTTTGCTTTCGAACGCCCGTTCATCTTCATCATCATCGTCGTCGTCGTCGTCATTGTCATCCTCATCCTTATCATCATCACTGTCATCATCATTATTTACAACCATCATGATGATCATTATCACATCATCCTCGTCACACTGTCACCGTAATCACCATCATCTTGTCATCATGTCGTCCTTATGCTGGCAGCCATCATCATCATCGCATTGCAGTGAAGGACAACATGGTTGGGGGG